GAGGGAGTGTCAGACTCTTACTGACTAAAAACCACCCCGTTCCTTCTCCTGCACGTCGAGCCGGAGCCCCGGTTACCCGTTAGGTTCTCCGCGACTCCGAATCGGCATCGGCCCTATTGGGCCCCATCTGTGGTGGTCTGATGGCTCTTTGAGGCGCGCGCGGAACGCGACGCGCCGTACGCTCGGGTCTGTTTCTGGTCGGACGGGGAGCCACCCATGCTCGCCGTCCGCAGGCCCGCGCTTACGGTGGCCGGAGATCGTCCCGCGATCCCCGACGCCCGGTGTGTCCTTCGCGATGGCTGGGTTGCGAGGAGGCAGCGCTTCGCTGCCTCACGCGTCCCGCCTCCTCCTTAGCTAGCATGACTGCTTCGCAAAAGGAGGAGACGGCATCCCAATCCCCCTCGCTCCGCATCATGGCCTGCACTAGGCCCGGACGCGAGAGGTCGCCATCGCCGATCACTTCCCTGAGGGCACGGCGGTGCTCAGCCCACGCAGGGCATTCTCCCACCGTGTGTTCCACCGTGTCCTCAGGGCGGCCCTCGCAGTGATGACACCCGGGCGTTTCCTCCCGCCCCATCAGACACAGGTACCTCCCGAAACTCCCATGTCCGGTGAGAACCTGCGTCAGGCGGTAGGTGAAGACGCCGTAGTGTCTCTCAAGCCACTCCTCAAAGAGGGGACTTACCGCTGCGATGGCAGCGAGCCCAGACTATCGACGTATAGGTAGGAACTATCGTTCCGTACGCTTATTTAGTTAATACTAATAAAATAATTGAAACTTACTCGTCTAGGCTCGATAGCTTCCGCCATTTTTATGGTCTCTTCAAAGGGAACACCGACACTAGCCACTGAACAATGGTCGGACTTGTAGTTCCATTCAGTATAGTTGTTGAGGATCTCTCCATTCATATTGTCTATCCTTGATGGCTCGCAGTAAATAGAGTTGTTGAGAGGTCCTCCCCAACAAGCCTTTTGGGCCAAGTCCAACACACGTTTCTCTGGGTGAATGCGGTGTAAATCGTCTCTGACCATGGGTTTTAAGTCGTCCATCTCCCATTCCTTGAAGCAGCATCTGATAAAGGTTACGGTACGGTGTAAAGATAAACAGATGGACCAAATACTGGAACGAAATCATTGATTGTAGCTACCTAGTTACGTAAATAAGTATTCGGACTTTTCTCTTACCTAATAACAGTATCCAGTAGAAAACATTTCATTTCTGGGAAAGTAGTGACTGGACAGCGCAATGTGTATGCTATGGATTGCCTGTTACTAGTGCAGGTAATTGAAGCACCTTTTTGGGACATGTAGCGCATTTTGGTGAAGGCAGAAAAGGCACAGCTGGAGGCACTAGATGCAGTACGCAGAAAGTGACTGGCGCCTAGGTATTCATCCTTTTCATATCGGGAGCCAGCCTACATGGTAAGTATTGTGATTAGCAGGTACCGAGTGTATCCACAGACTCGATTATACTATACTATTCTACTATGGGTAAAATAGGTACCTACTATGCAAGGTTAAGGTACTACATACTTTAGTCAAAGCATTTGTTTCAATTAAACCATAATTTGGTACTTTTGAAACGTAAACAAATACAAAATAAATAATAGTCTGTCAGTCAGTCGGTCAATGGAGCTAGGTGAAGCTAGGTGCTCATTCCACAATGAAGATTCGAATGGAGAAGAACGAGGAAGAAACCCCATTCGTTATTCTTAAAAAGAATTTAAGAATATGTACTGTCTGTAAGGATATTTAGTATTTTACCAGGTACCTGTACCTACAGCCATAATTGCTAAAGGCCTTGGTAAAGGTATAATACGACACAGACATAATATTATTATAGGTACCTATTTACTGTTTTTCAAATCACGCCGCGCTGTGCCTTCCTAAGATAAAAACGTGTTTTCTCACCTGATACATTACTGTGCAAGCACCAATTTGACCTCCAAGAGGTTTGGCTACAGCCACTTTCATCCCATTTAGAAGAACCGAACGCTGCACTTCCACGGGACCATAATTGGGTTTAGGCAACTTTCGAGTTCTACTCATATCGGCTGATAACATTCGTATTGAAGTCTTAGAAAGTTTATTAACGATCATCTCTTGAAGATGTGGACAATTACGTTTGTACATTTTAAATTTTAATCTTTCTTGTAAACAAGCTGTCAGTCTGATATTTTATTCTCAAAAGCAACTTGAAAGATTGTAATCGTGATCTCTGGTTAATTTCCAAAGAAAGATTATTTATCTAAAAAAATCAGTGAAAAAAATGTATCGACCATAGTTTGATTTTTAATCTGTTACTTTTTGGCGCGCATAACAAAAATTCATGGAAAGGAAAATTATTTTATTTTATTTTATTTTACAGTTTTAGGAAAACTTACAGCTAGGTATAACATAATCAAAGATTAAATTATAGTAATTATAGTGGCACTCTCAACAATTCAAGTCCCTTTTGTTTCTTACTCAAATATCCTGTCACACACACAGTCGCCCAGCCTGTCTCCTGAGTTCTATCTAACGGCTTTGGTTTTTCAGGTAAGTAGGTACCTACTAAGTAATATATTGCGTAACCAAATCTAAATCTAGACTGCACGGTTAGTGCGATGACTGGGCAACCGGCTACCGTGAAACGTATAGCGGGTTCGATTCCCGCACAGAACAAAACTTTGTGTGATCTACAAATAGTAGTCATTGTGTACGTGAAGTTGTATGTTTGTAAACGCACATACGACACAGGAGAACATTCTAGTGTGGGGCAACGTTTTTTAAGCAAACAAACAAATTGTACAGTCTCTTCTTTGTGCCTTTAGGCTTAATTCATTCTGTCTCCTGCAGTAATTCACCGAGGGAAGTGAAAACCATCGTTTTTTCTTCTTCTCCTTTTATAATATCTTCTGATTCACTTCGTTGCGGGAACCAAGACAGGTATTCATGTCCCTGGGACGCGCCGGACTTCAGTGTTCCGATGTTTTCATGGTTGTATCTAGGTACATCCAGGATCTACTCCTGGCTTACAGGAGTTGCAGCGATTTTGGCAGGTTGCGGCGGGCTTGCCCAATAAAAAAAATCAAACAAATCTAGATATAGGGTGTGTGTGTACCTATCAACTATGTTTTGAAGTTATTGACATCAGATACATTATAAAAATACTCTCCTTTCGTGCATTTGTGTAAATATTTGTAGTCAGCTTTGTCTAGGTTTCTAACTACATACTTACCGGAGTTTTTACAGCAACTAGACTACAGTATTTTGGTTTGCTCGACCAACTACTTTTATATCAATGATCAACAGTGAAGATAACATTGACGTAGGTTGTATATCTCAATAGACGTAGGTAACAAACAATAAGTTTTAGTTAGTAAGAGTCCCTTTCGTCCTATCCAGGCGATGGGGCTTCATGAGAATTTCCCACCTTGAGATAAAAATGTTTAGATCAAAGTACCTTTGATATATGTCTACTAATACACCGTGACTCGCAAAATTTTGGAAATTCAATAATTACACATCACTCACGCCCTCTCATTATCTATAGACATTTTTTCTTATCTTATTTTAATTAAATCAATCAAGGTGATTGATCTTTCTGTTGGTATCTACACCTAATGGCCATATCTACTTATTTGTGAGTGTTTATCAAACGATACGTAACTACGTTTCAATTAAGCCTGATATGTATTGAGTTTATGATGCTGATTATCTTGACAAGGTCGAGGTGTTCGTTGTCAACAAGTTTTTGTCCAGGTTACAGGGTGTACCGTAGGTTGCGGTTTTGCGAACTTAAAGTTTCAAGGTTTTTTGGCAAGTCCTATTCAGTCTTTCGTTTGTTTCTTACCTCAGAGCACATAGATAGGTGCATACACTTAACATCACGCCTTTTATACCCCAAGGGCTAGGTAGAGGTGCATCACATATTTAAATACTTACTTATCAATGACAAAACCCACTGTTCACCATTCATATCACCACGACTCTAAAATAGAGCCTAGCTATTTTTTTACCAGCCAGAGAATCGAACTCGAATACCCTTACTCGGTTCGACTCAATCGATGAGGTAGTTAGTCACTACATAATCATTACTTTAGTATTAACGGCTCCACTGTCAACAAAAAGAAACGAAACAGGCTGTTCTTTCAGTTATGTAAAGGACCTACCTCAATAATTATAACAATTATAATACTAGTTCCCTGAGTATTCTAATCTAATTCACTCTTGACTCAACTGGGCGGGTTCTAAAGCCTATTACATCATCGTACACGAGCCTATAAGATATCATAAAGATAATGAATATTAGACATTCATTCAGTTTCATCTAGACCTTTAATTAGAAGCATTTGAGAAAGAAAACTAAAACTACGATCTGAGTTCCTTTTGGGTTTAAATCTCTTATAGACATAGTTAATACGGAGCAGCGGAGGACTTAACGGGTTGCCGGGGCTCCAGCTCGAAGGGCAGGAGTAGGAACGGGGTGGTTTTTATTCAGTAAAAGTCTGACACTCCTTCCCGCCTCACCCAGGCGGGAGCAGTCATTCGATGATTTTCCCCCCTCAAAAAGAAGACAGTTAGATGTCTACCTAGGTAAAGGGTTCTTATGTTTAGACGGTCAATGGCTTTAGGAAGCAAGCAAGTTGCCCCAAGATACTAAACCTTAACAATCTATTACAGTCTGAATCTGAAGCTATGACAATACCCACAAATTGAACACAATCTAATGTTCCTAGTACTGATTTACTCACGTTAAACTGAAATCCCAGCTGAATATAGGAAACAGTGATTTTCGGCAGTTGCAGTATCAACCTATCACTTTTATGATATAATCCGGACTTGTTATTGTTATCGAAGATAACTTTGTATTTTATAAGCGTAGTCGGGTGACAAACATTTATGGAATGGGTGAGACATTTTATAACTACTCCTTCCTTTTATAAGTAAAAAGGAATCAACAATGACGTTGAAAATAGGCGAACATAATGTCACTTACAAATGATTAAAGAAGCAAAATGTCAGTGATTTTTTATGTGTGCATTGTGTACGGGTTAAGTACCACGTTATCAGACTTAAAAAATGACTGATGTCCTACGTGTCTATGTGTTTATGTTCTGCGTACTGCGGGCCTGCGGACGGCGAGCATGGGTGGTTCGCCGCCCGACCAGAACCAGATCGGAGCGCACGGTGCGTCGCGTTCCGCGCACGCCTCAATCAGACCACCACGGATGGGGCCCAATAGGGCTGATGCTGATACGGAGTCGCGGAGATCTCAACGGGTTACCGGAGCTGCGGCTCGAAGTGCAGGGGTAGGAACGGGGTGGTTTTTAGTCAGTAAGAGTCTGACACTCCCTCCCGCCTCACCCAGGTGGTACCAGTCATTCGATGATTTTTCCCCCCTTAAAAAGTGCTATAGTCGTTGTTCCATGAGACTGTGTCCGTCTGTATCCTTGGGAGTCAAACTGTGTCAATTATGTGTGTCATACTGTGTTTACACTTTGTGTTATATAAAACTTCTAACTTAAAAACTGCGCTGGTTAGCAAGCTCCCGAATACATACTATTATGTATTTCACTCAACTTTAGTTATGTTCACAAAGAATATACAATGCAAGTCTATATCTATACTAATATTATAAAGAGGAAAGATTTGTACCTATTTTTGTATGTTTGTAATGAATAGGCTCAAAAAGTACTGGGCCGATTTAAAAAATTCTTTCACCAATAGAATGCTTAATTCTTCCAATTTGACATAGGCTACATTTCATTTTGAAAAAAATTAGGGATCCTTGGTAAAAATTTGGACAATGTAAAATGAGTCTTAAAATGTCTCAGGTAAAAGGTATAGAAAAATGAGTCTTAAAATGTCTATCGTCGAATGCGCTGCCCAAACTATTAGCGATAGAACAAAATAAAAAACTCCGCGGTAATATATGTCCAACTATTGTAGTTATGTCACTACAACAATCCAAATTTCCAAAAATAAATAATTGTCTACCCCGTGCGAAGCCGGGACGGGCTGCTAGTATTTAATAAAATAATTAAAACAGTTTCGTATCGAAAAGTGACATTACACTGTAAATGAGTTTATTAAATGACAACACTTAAACAAAACTTGATTATCAATATCATATTTGTAATACATCGATTATTAAATTTTATTGCATAAATATAAATATTATGTAGAATTGCAATATTTATTAAGAATTGCCGTAGGTATTAAATAAACAATTTAATTATTTTTTTGTGTAATGTATTCGTTTTCGCTGTTTCAACATTTGCAAGCGAGGACTATGTCACCCAGATTATACAAAAAAAAGCTGTTGCACTGTTCTCTTCAAGCTATGTATTTTAGTGTCTAAATATAGTATTATTCGATTCCCGGGGCGGGCAAAGTATTACTGGGTTTTTTTTATAAATTCTCATTAGTAGCACGGAGTCTGGAATTGTGCCCGGTATATGACAATAGGGTCACCCCCTATTACATGGGACTCATAACATAAATAGTGAAAATTGGGTGTTACATTGTAGTGGCATAATGTATACCTCTGTGTAAGGGGTAGTCCCTTTGGGGATAAAAGGCGTGTTAAACTGTCAAGCACCAAGCGGTCACCGGTGACCGCAACCTATTGTTCTATAATTGTGTCTATAATGACGGTACTCGACGAGTTAATATAGTAATATCTGTCAACAAATGCGTGTCTTAAAAGCATTTGATTGCATTTCCTGATGATGAATCTCATTATGTTTAATTTGTCTATATGTTTTAAAGCTTTCCAGTATTTAGTAGTAGTATCCAGTTCCAGTAGTATTATATTATAAATATTTCCTCTTCGTGGGTACTTATGAGTACGATTATTTAGTAATCTCCGAACTATTCCAATATAGAATTATAAAGGGCATTCCCTATTTAATTAACGAAGTAATTAATATAATGACATTAGTCATTGACATAGCTACCTAATTATCAATTTCCATGGAAGACCTTCATAAAAAAGGAATAAACAATACAGCGAGACGATGCTTAAATAACAAGAAGGATTGTATGATTATGGATAATTTTAGATTTGTCTTTCACTAAAATCGTAGTCACCCTATCAGCAGAACATTGCTCCTTCAATATTCGCATAACTACAGGATTATTATACCTTCCGTTGACTCAGTGATAGCTTATCGATAGTACTTACAAAACAATAAAAGGTTTCGAGTATTTAAATACCTTCTAGTATTTCCCACATAGTATTACACACTGGTAAATTACGTGGGCTCGACCATAAAAGTAACTAATTTCATTAACATTTTTCAATAAATAGAAGAGTCGTCAAGTAGACGGTTGTGTATCCAAATTCGGCAATCACCTTTATTCAAGAGAAGATCAAAGAAGTCAAAACAAGCAAGTATAATGAACGTGCCATACCAAGATGATCCTGATTACCCAAAATCATTAGACAACAATGACCCTATGGGACATTTTAGACAACGATTTTTCCTCAAGAAAGACAGCATCTATATGTGTGGCAATTCCTTGGGTCTGGCCACAAAGGACGCCGAAGAATGTGTCTTAGAAGTCATGGAAAGGTGGAAAGACGAAGGAATCAAAATATGGACAGTCGACGACAACAAATATTATTTATATTCCAGATACTTAGCGAAACTCATGGCTCCCATCGTCGGAGCAGATCCTGATGAGATAGCAATCTTTGGAGGAACTACAATCAACATCCATCAAGGAATAAGTACGTTTTACAAACCTACAAAGGACAAGTACAAGATATTGGTGGACGACATCAACTTCCCTACAGACCGGTATGCAGTAGACAGCCAAGTAATGTTACAGGGTTACGATCCCAAAGACGCAGTTAAAGTTGTGAAGAGTAAAGGTAAATTTATGGACGAAGATGACATTGTAAACGCCATGACAGAAGATGTGGCGCTTATATTCCTGCCTACAGTGTACTACAGAAGCGCTCAGGTACTAGACATGGTCAAAATAACTAAGGCAGCTAAAGAAAGGGGTATTCTTATTGGATGGGACCTTTGCCACGGTGTTGGAGCAATTGAAATCAATTTAAAAGAAATAGATGCTGATTTTGCAATCTGGTGTACTTATAAATATTTGAACGGAGGACCTGGATCTTCTGCAGCCATATACGTCAACAGGAGACATTTTAAAAGGTTACCAGGTTTAGCTGGATGGTATGGTAACAAGATAGAGACTCAGTTTCTATTGAGACAGGAATTTGATCACCAACAAGATGCGAATGGGTGGCAGATTGGAACGCCTAATGTTTTATCGATGGCGTCTTTAGAGGGGGCTTTGAAGGTGATCAATGAAGCAGGAGTGGCGAATATGAGGAAGAAGTCTTTGCACATAACGGGTTACTTGATGTACCTTATTGAGAAGAAACTATCGAATTATGGATTCACTATTGGGAATTTGCGGGAAGACAGTAAGAGGGGCGGTCATGTATGTTTAGAACATGATGAAGGTTACAGAATCAGTATTGCAATGAAGAAGAGAGGTATTGTTCCCGATTTTAGAGACCCCAACGTGATCCGTGTGACACCTACGGCTTTGTACACGAGTTACGAAGAAGTTTATCGAGTAGTCGAAATCTTACTAGACATTGTTAGAACTGAGAGCTACAAAGAGATTAACAAGAATAGGAACTATGTAGTTTAGTAAGTATAGCTATGTCATTTCTCAATTTTTTTGTACTCGAAAACAATATTTGTTTGTGTAAGATTTCGATGTATATTATATGATTATAATTAAGTAGAACATTTTGTGTGATAATACTGTCTGACTTATCACTTATCGTGGAGTTTGTAAAGGTAATGGTAAGGTAAAGGTTGTCTGTGATGAAAGTAAAGAATAGAAATAAAACAATCAGTATTTGGTTTTCTTTATATTTTAAATTGAAAATAGGCTTATACTATTTTACTCAAGTTGCAATGTGATTATATCAACATGCCATAAAATTTATCCTATCACAAGTCCAGAATTATATTAGACACAATTTTTGGAGGTTTTAACAAAAAAATATTCACACTTACTATAATCACACCACAACGATCCATTTATAAATAAAAAAATAATTATGTATAATAATTAACAAAATGTCAAAACGTCATTCCTTCTCAGTGTTGCCGGCCGAAATAAAAAATATCTATTTTATACTAACAACATCTGCGTGTGACTTTTCGTACTTACAACTTATCTGGGATGTACAATAATGAACCCTATTTTAATTTTAATAAACCTTAATAATAACAGTTTTTTCTATTAATCATTATCATTTATTATTTACAGTAATTTACATCACAAGAGTATGTTGCATGGTGGTTGTTAACAATACAACATTTTATGTCCAACATAAACTAACGTAAGGAACTAACAGTAAGGACCAAAAAGGTCTAATTTCAGGTTCAAACAAAAAGTTTTCCTTCTTTTTGAATTTAGGATAGAATCGAAAAGATTTTAAATAAATCACGCAGAAAACTTTTAGTTCAAACCATCACATTTTTCATGAAATGCTAGCTGGAACTTATCTTACTCAGGAGTCCCAATTTACTACAGTTAACTTATCGTTATAAATAGTAGTTCCCTATACAATTTCACTTGGCCGTTCGATTCAAATGCTGATATAGGATACATTAACAAAACTACATTTGTATGTAACACTGAGTTGGCAACTTGCTAATACAAGTATAATAACTACAACATTCGGACTTAACAATGGAGGATACTGCTATTACGGACGCCGTGATAACAGAAAATGGGTCATCCGTAATTCGAGTACTAATCAAACCCATACAACAGGAATGATGTTAGGAATACTAAGTCTTATAAAACAGGACTCCCGAACGTCACAACGCACAATTTCACAAAAAAGCACTAAACGAAAACGTTGTATTTTTTTAATATTTCAACACGAATATACCGCAGTGCGGTGCGATGTCTACATCAGTAACGATCAGTTCTTACCTCGGTCGTACCCGGTCGCCCGGTCGCCCGGTCGCCCCGGCCCCCGGCCGCCCGGCCCCCGGCCCCCCGGACCCACCATACTTGTTACCGCTCACAGCACACACGAATGAGTGACAGATGGTTGCGTAACTGTAGCCTTGAGCCTCTGTTAACAAATAATACATGTATTATAGTCAAATTGCTAAATGCTATCATCGGTGCACTAGCAAATACTACTATTAACACTGAAATATTCATATTAAACTAAAACATTACTGCAAAAAGTTATGTAGTATACCCACACATGAGTTTAACAGCTAGTCCCTAAATGATTTATTGTAAAAAACTTTCGATAACTGTCTAACTATACTGGCCAAAACTTCTTGTTAACTTGATAAAAAATAAAATATAAAAGAAAACTAACAAAATATCACATAGAACATCCATTTTGCGATCTTGGCCAGACCGCCGTAGTAACGACATTCTGAAAAATAATTCAAATAAACGGTTTTTTTATTTTAAAACCTTCTCATTCTGATACATTTGCTTTATAACTAAAGACTACCAATATAGATTAGAAAAGTGATAATGATTTTAGTATTAGCTATCCTATATATTTCAAATAAACATCACAAGAATGACAAAATATTGTAAATATTAGGTGCAGCTAGTAGTAAAGACTGTGTAGTTACACCATGGACTGGATAAGTTTTACTAGCAAACTATAAAACTAATATAAAATAAAGCAAACACAAGGAAACAATCATTATCACCTACACTCAGGTAAATTATTTGGTATACAGGCAAGGAAATACTAAATAGGTTTTTGTTTTCTAACCTGCGTACCCGATGATTTGGCTGACTACAGTAGAGTAAAGCGGGTAGGAAGAAGGCATAAAAGGACAGTTATCAAGGTCATTACAGCTACATACAGGTGCAAACAGTAAGGTCTCGGAATAGGGTGTCACTAGAGCGATCTATCTACGCTATCTACGTACAGTTATGCAGGCGCACCGAGGGCCAGTCGTCGAGGTCGTGCGCGGTCGCGGCGCGGTCGCGCGGGTCGCGGCGCCGCGCCGTGTGCGGCGGCTCGGCGCGCGCCACGCAGCCCTCGTGGATGTGCACCGACGAGATGTCCGACCCGGGGATCTCGAACATCACCTCCAGGAGCAGGTTCTCCTACACCGACATACCAATGTGTCACTAACGACTTCATGATATAAAGTCACTACAAATACGTAGTTGAAAATAAAGAACTGAAAATCAAGTAATTACATAAGAACCACCTATCACCTAGAATAAATGAGAATGGAATGAAGACGATAATAACGACTTAACGACCGAATACTGAAAGGCAAATTTTAAGTTGAATTTAAATACCGTGCCACCTCTGTCATTTTACAAAACAATTGCAGTAACAAAACTATACTTAAGGACGACTTGAAATTAAGTGGAGTTTGAGTATTATTCATATTAGTATTAGTAATATTTTTATTTTCAAATTACAGAAAACCAATTAAGCTATTTCGGCTTCATAGGAAGAGGCACAGGATGGTATTGGAATATTTTGTGATCTTTCAAAAGCATTTGAATGTGTTGAGCATGAGACATTATTGCTAAAACTGGAACACTATAGCATTCGAGGAGTATTGCTAAATCCATTAAAATCATACCTACAGAATAGGCAACTCAAAGTACAAATAAACAAAGTAAACTCACAGGGTGCTAGCATATCTATGGGTGTACCGCAGGGATCGATACTAGGTCCATTCTTATTTTTGACATACATAAATGACTTGCCCCATTTATTTATATATAAATGAATTGCAGATAGCATTAATTGCTGATGACACTTCTATCGTTTTTATTAAAATAAATAGACGGACAAATAATTATGACGACGCATATGATGCCCCAATGAAGGATCAAAATTGGTTTACATTAAATAAACTCTGCTCACTCAAAAGTCTCATTGGCAGTGGCACGGGCAGTGGATCGCTCGATTCCCTACAACATGGTGTTCCCTACAACTGTGACTGGTCAGCTCCAGACTGCATTATTTATTGTCTTTAAGGTTATTTTCTTTTTCGATCTCTTTGACTGAAGTTTGGTGTTAAATTGTTTTTGCGCAAGAACCGATAAAACTATATAACTAGAAAATTGTATTGTGAACCTCATTGGAAAAGAGTAGCCTATGGAGTTTCTTCCTCGTTCTTCTCCGTAGGCCTCTACACCTTGGAATGTGCAACTAGCTTTACTTTTAAATTTTAATTGTTGACATTCAGAAGTGCCATCCTGGTCTAATTGAAATAAATGATTTTGACTTTGACTATATTGAGGAAAAAAAACGTTGCACTAAAATATAGTGAATTTAGAAGTTGAAGAACAAAACTCATTGCACTTGTTAGCAATAAGCCAGTCATATTACGAGTGTGTTTAATGTATAACCAAAAATCTTGCATAAAGATAATGCTAATGTAAATAAACAGCTATCTTCTTACATTAACCTAATTACATAAAAACATTGCATTTAATTTTAATGAAAACAAATCAAGTTAAAAGTTGTAATTTTGAATGTTGAAATATTATTATTACCTTTATCGCTTAAATAAAACCCATTTTTTTTATCACTTGCGCAGTACTGCGTTTCCTTTCCAACAATTTTACAAAATTTTATTTATCTTGGAGTATTTGTACTTCGGTCATTAATTTACATAAAACTTCCTACTTTAATTTAATTGATATAATCCTATTGATTATTCTTTTTTTTATGCCATAAGCCGGTAAACGAGCCGACTGATCACCTGAGGGTAAGCAATCGGCGTCGCCCATGGACACCTGGAACACCAGAGGCGTTACAAGTGCGTTACCGGGTTTTTGGGGATTAGGAGTTTCAGGATTGTTGGGGATTCGGGGATTGGGAAGGACTAAGGTAATAGTAGGGGAGCCCACGATGCTAAATTGGGATTTACTTGAGCGTCCTTGGGACCTACTGGATTTTGAAGATATGCTGATAGAAAGAAGAAATGGTTTAGTGACAATTTCTTCCACCAGTGGGGGAAGGGGGAATCTACAGATCTTTGAAATTGTTAAGCGTAACTTTTGTTCTAGTGGTCGAGCGTGTCAGATATTGATAATGTACATGCTCCATGTGTATTTAATAATAAAAAACTCTTAATCTGCCAGTTTACATGGTGGGTTGAATGTTCTGGAGAGTACAAACGAGAACCCTTCAAAATCCCCCCACTCTTGCAAATCAAGTTGGAATGGGCAGATTTTTTAAACGCACTTCCTTTAGTACGGTATTGACCTACCTTCCCTTAATCTGACGAAACTGACTTTATTTAGTCAGACTTTTTTTTTAGTCGGACTTTTTTTTAATTTTCAATCCCCCCCTTCTGATCAGATTGGATATATGTTGGGTATATTCAACATGACACTAGGTTTTCCCCATATGTTAATCTGACGCGCTCGAGTAACTACCGAAATCCCTTCATGGGCTCCCCTACTATAACTGGGCCTCTGGTAACCTCACTCAAACGACGAAACACAACGCAAACGTTGTTTTACGCCGGATTGAGATGCAGATTCAAATTGAGTATTTGAACTACGGAATTTATAAGATCGGAGAATGATAAGTCTTATGTGAGTACAAAACGCGAGGGAGAAATACTTTATACCGAGAAAAGTACGTGAGGCTATTGAAATAAGTCGTTGTCCGAACTTCAACAGAGACGGTGGCTGGGTGGACGGTCTGGAAGCCAAGTCTAAAATCTGCGTCCGACTACAATGTTGCGGGCGTGGAGTGACGCAGTGAGCGCGGCGTTAACACCTCCGCAGCGCCCGGCTCGATGCCGGCGGGACTAATGTCTGCCTCACGGGGCGGGGGAACGCCCGGGGTCACTGCGGGGACCGGGCGGAGGACACGGTGGAACACACAGTAGGAGAATGCCCTGTGTAAGCTGAGCACCGCCGTGCCCTCAGGGACGTGATCGGCGATGGCGACCTCTCGCGTCCGGGCCTAGTGCAGGCCATGATGCGGAGCGAGGGGGACTGGGATGCCGTCCCCTCGGAAGTGATCGGCGATGGCGACCTCTCGCGTCCGGGCCTAGTGCAGGCCATGATGCGGAGCGAGGGGGACTGGGATGCCGTCCCCTCCTTTTGCAAAACATTCATGCTAGCTAAGGAGGAGGCGGGACGCGTGAGGCTGCCTCTTCGCAACCCAGCCATCGCGAAGGACACACCGGGCGTCGGGGATCGCGGGACGATCTCCGGCCACCGTAAGCGTGGGCTAGCCGCCCGACGGGCCACGGAATGTTACTCATGAATATGAGCCTCTAGTATGGCTTGAAACTAGTCGAGTTCCTCGTCAAACGGTTACATGAGTAAGCCGGAAACGCAATAATTAGTTACATTATTTATACAGCTTACTCACGAATATCGAAATTGTCTGAATATTATTTTCGAGCCTGACCAGAGAGCCTTAATCAAATAACATCACACGAACATAATCAAATTTAACATGATTCACGATAAACATAAAAGTTCTTATTACAAAGAGACTATGGTAAATGACGTACCATGATGGCTCTAAGACCACGGGCCCCAGTCTTCCGTTCCATGGCGAGCGCTGCGACGGCCTTCAGCGCCTCGTCACTGAACGTCAACTCGCACTTGTCCATCGCAAACAGCAGTTTGTATTGAGATACCTGGGAATAATATAATTGGCGTGATAGTGTGAGCCGACTAAGGGATACAATTATACGGAGACTGAAAGGTATTCTTTTCTTATTATTAAAATTGGGTACTTTCATTAATCAAAATTAAATTATTACGACTGTTCAATACAATAAAATATTAAAAAATAATCACACTTTCATTAATTGAAATTATGACCAACTTAATTTTAGTATCTTTGCAGCATTTTTTTAAGAAATAAGTATGCTGTTTTACTCTAAAAAACGTAATGTCACTGTAGTATATTAGTGACGGTATGTCAATATTCCGTGATAATTGTATGTGAGGGTGTTTGAATAAAAGTCTGTGTTTAACCAACTTGCGTGCGTTTCATTACATGGTGTCAGAAGTGGGATCTTTTTAACATTAATTGCGGGTTAAAAAGATATTTTAGTAACAATAAACTATTATTCTAAGTGTCGTTGTGTACAAGAATAATAAATATGGAGCACGCACGTCCTCCAGTGGAATTATCGCTCGACGGTGGTCCGGCCGCGCGGTCCGACGCGTGGCATAAATGGCGGAAACAGTTCGAGGTTTTCCTTAAAGCATCTGGAGTGAGCAAAGAGCCTAAGGAAGTTCAGGCTAGTTTGTTGGTTAACCTCATCGGATCAGCTGGTTATGAGGCTTTTACAACTTTTACGTTTGAAGAAGGTGAAAGTGAAGACGACATTCATTGCGTATTAAGGAAGTTCGATAAATATTTCGGCACGAAACCAAATATCACAGTGCGGCGGTTTAAATTCTTTTCACGCGATCAGGAAGAGGGTGAAAACATCCATCAATATGTAACCGCGTTGAGGGTATTGAGTCAGCAGTGCGAGTTCAGTGAATTGCACGAGAGCCTGTTACGTGATAGGATTGTGTGTGGTATTGTAAACAATACGGTGAGAGATAGACTTCTCCGCACAGACGAGTTGTCGCTATCCAAAGCGATACAAATCTGTCAGGCGGCAGAGATGTCCAAGGAGGAGAGTAAGTGCATCGACGGTGCATCTGAGGGGGTGCAAGTGGATGCTGTGCAAGGCGGCCGCAGAGCACGAGGCGGGCGGCGCGCCGGAGGATGGCGCGGAGCCGGCGGAGCGCGAGCAGCGCGCGCGCCGCTTGTCGCTTGTGAGCGATGCGGCAGCGTGCGGTGTCTCGGTGGCGAGCGGTGTCCGGCGTGTGACGTAAAGTGTTATGTTTGTGAAAAGAAAGGTCATTTTTCGCGAGTGTGTAAGCATACAAAATCGATTCGCAAAGTGTTAAATCTCAGTGTAGAAACCGTAAATAGTGACAGTGACGAAGAAAGTCAGAAACAAAGGTTTTATATAAACACCTTAGATAATAAGAAAAAACAATGTAAGTCGCCATTGGAATGGACAGAAATTATAGAATGTCAAGGTAAAAAACTTTTATTAAAAATAGATACTGGATCAATGATTAATGTTATCTCTAAAGTAAATTATATGAAGTTAGGGTTATCTATTACAGACCTTAAACCGTTCACAAAACGTGTATATTCGTTTACAGGCAATCAGTTATCAATTATAGGTATTGGCAAGATTTCTTTTATGTTTAGAAAAACTAGTTATGTGTTATCATTTGTTGTTGTGGATTTGTTTTGTCAGAGTGTACTCGGTTTAGAGGGATGTATTGCGTTAGGATTAATAAATCAAATAAATACAATCAATTTGGATAACTATAATGAATTGTTTCAAGGATTGGGAAAATTACCTGGCAAATATAGTATAGTAATAGATAAAAACGTACAACCAGTTATATGTCCTACTAGGAAAATTCCATTCGGTCTTAAGGATAAATTAAAGGAGGAATTGTGTAGAATGGAAGATTTGGGCGTAGTTAGGAAGGTCACTCATCCAACCTCATGGGTAAATGCAATAGTGTTAGTCGCGAAAAAAGATGGCAGTATTCGTGTTTGTTTAGATCCGCGACCATTAAACCGGGCGGTGCAACGTGCGCAGTACTCGCTCCCGACGGTACCGGAGCTGGCCGCGCGCTTGCGAGGTGCTACTGTGTTTAGCGTGTTAGATGCGCGCTGTGGTTTCTGGATGGTTCAAATAGACGATGTGAGCGCTGATCTCTGTACGTTTGGCACACCATTTGGTCGATACCAATTTCTGCGTTTACCATATGGTATAAACTGTGCGCCAGAAGTATTTCATGCGAAGCTTAGGCAGCATTTAGAAAATTTAGAAGGAGTTGAATCTTTTATTGATGACATAATTGTATGGGGCCGTAGTAAAGACGAGCACAACCAGAGATTAGAGTGTCTTCTGCGACGTGCTAAAGATATTGGCATAAAATTTAATCGCGAAAAATGCAAGTTTGGTGTATCAGAAATTACTTACTTGGGTCACAAGTTTGACGCGAATGGTATGCGGGCAGACGACTCCAAAGTAAAAGCTATAATGGATATGCCCTATCCTACTGATAGGAAGGCTCTCGAGAGGTTTTTGGGCATGGTAAATTATTTAGCTAAATTTATACCTAATTACTCAGAGAGTGTAAATGTGTTAAGGTCGTTATTAAAGAAAGATTCGGAGTGGTCTTGGGAATCTCAACATTCAGAAGCAGTGGATAGGCTAAAGGCAAAGCTAGGTAGTGCACCGGTGCTAGCGCTGTACAGTGACAGTGCGCCGTTAGTGGTATCAGTGGACGCGTCTAGCGTCGCGCTGGGCGCTGTGCTACTACAAAATGATCGTCCGGTGGAGTTTGCATCGCTTACGCTCACCGACACTCAGACTAGATACGCGCAGATCGAAAAAGAAATGCTAGCCATTGTGTTTGGTATCGAAAGATTCAAGCAGTATATTTATGGAAGAACTGACGTCACCGTAAACACCGACCACAAGCCACTAGAAGCATTATTTAACAAACCCCTGGTTTCGGTACCAGTTAGGCTACAAAGAATGATGTTGAGAGTACAAGGATACGACTTCAAAGTAGTATATACGCCGGGCAAAAATATGTATATAGCAGACACGTTATCGAGGGCACCTTTGAAGGAAAAAATGCATGATCAAGTATCCACAGAAGTGGAGATACAAACTTGTTTCATGTTAGAACATGTACCTTTTAGCCAACCACGATTGGAGGCCATTCAAAAAGAAACGGACTTAGATAGTGACTGTCGATGGTTGATTAAATACATAACAAAAGGCTGGCCTAAAAATAGGCGCGATGTAAATGAACGAGTGAACGCTTTCTGGCCATATCATGAGCAAATGCATTATGTAGACGGAATCATTTTTAAGGACGAATTAGTGTTTATTCCTCGTGCTTTACGGGAAGACATGTTGTCACGAGTTCACGAAGGACATTTAGGTATAGAACGGTGTAAAAGGCGCGCGCGCGATGTAATGTTTTGGCCGGGAATGTGCGACGATGTCGAGCGCATCGTGCGCACGTGTGCAGCTTGCGCACTGCACGCGCCTCGCCCGCGACGTCAACCGCTTCTGCAGCATAGCGTGCCTGCACTGCCATGGCACAAGCTAGCATCGGACACGTTCGAGTATAAAAAAAAGAATTACATTGTTTTAGTTGATTACTTTTCAAACTACGTTGAGGTAGGACAGTTAACGAGCATAAGCTCGAAGCAAGTAATTTCTTTTATGAAAGAGCAGTTTGCAAGGCATGGTATACCAGCAGAATTAGTCAGTGATAACGGTCCGGCTTATAACTCACAAGAATTTAAAAAGTTTATGCGCGAATGGGAAATACAGCATGTAACGTCATCACCGCATTACCCACAATCAAACGGGAAAAGCGAAAGAACAGTGCAAACAGTTAAAAATATGTTAAAGAAGTGTGTAGACTCGGGACAAGATTTCAATTTAGCATTGTTAAATTTCAGAACTACGCCGCGGCATGACTTAGACTCACCTGCCCAGATTTTAATGGGTAGAAGGCTGAAAACTAGATTACCGGTCTGTACTAAACTACTAACGGAGAGGGTAGATAATGAAAAAAATTATAAAGCAATTTTGTCAAAGAGGGAACAAATCAAAATAAATTACGATAAATCGGCAAACACCCTTAAGCGACTATCTCAAGGGGATAGGGCAACTTTAGTGTGTAATGGCGCCAGGAAACCGGTGACCGTAGTGGCACAAGCAGCTCAACCGCGCTCGTACATTGTAGAAGACGAACGTGGTGGACGGTATCGGCGAACTCGAAGTCAGTTGATAACGCGTACGGCCTCGTCAGCAGAAATAATTAGAGAAACTGTGAGACAACCATCTGATAATGAATTTAGTTGCAAGTTACCAAGTGTGATCTCGATGGCAGGGTATCGTAGGCGTAGACGAAAGCCAGAATCCACAGGGTCGCAAAACACCGTGGTTCCTACTCGGGCGCAGGCAAGCCCAGCGAACAGCGAGTACCATGAAAGTCCAGTTGGTAGTCGAGACCAGTCTTGTACGTCGTCACCTCACGAGATACCTATTGAAAGGTCTAAAGAAAGAACTGCACGAATGCTGAATCATCTATTTCAATATA